ATGTCTAGTGTTCTATCTATCTATCTGTCTGTCTGTCTGTCTGCCGTTCTATCTATCTATCTATCTATCTGTCTGTCTGTCTGTGTTCTATCTATCTATCTATCTATCTTGTGTTCTGTCTAGCATTCTGTTTATCCAGAGTTTTATCTAGGTTTTTAATCTCATTCTTTTAATGTATCATTCTGTTGTCATTTCTTCTAGTGTCTATGTTGTCTGACTTCACTGCTTCCTCTTTTTCAGTCGGCGCTGGCGTCGCTGGAACCGGTTGTGTCGAAGGAATTGTCGTTTGGCTGTGAAATCTGTGCCGTTCTATTGGCTGGTGATCATCTTGGTGTTCCTCAACACTTTGACTATCTCTTCAGAACATTACAACCAGCCCCTGTGGCTCACGCAAGTCCAGGGTGAGCGCTGCGTGTGTTTGTGCTCTCGTAATATATGTAAAAGATCAAGCTTCGCATTCTCGCTATATCCTTTCTTCTTTCTCCTGTAGATGTGGCCAATAAAGTGCTGCTGGCCCTGTTCACGTGTGAGATGCTGGTGAAGATGTACAGTCTGGGTCTGCAGGCTTATTTTGTGTCTCTGTTTAATCGCTTTGACTGCTTTGTGGTGTGCGGAGGCATCACAGAGACGATCCTAGTCGAGTTTGAGATTATGTCACCTCTCGGCATCTCAGTGTTTCGATGTGTGCGACTTCTCAGGATCTTTAAAGTCACACGGTAAGGGATCGGAATAGAGAAATGAAAATTGTGTTAAAGCAATAGTTCATCCAAAAAAAAAATTTTTTACTCACCCTCATGATTTTCCAAACCCATAAAATGTTTAGGAAATTTGTTTTTTACATGGTCTGCTTTTTGCCTTTAGTCATTGGGCATCTCTCAGTAACTTGGTGGCATCTCTGCTGAACTCCATGAAGTCCATTGCTTCTCTACTGCTGCTGCTCTTCCTCTTCATCATCATCTTCAGCCTCCTTGGTATGCAGGTGTTTGGTGGCAAGTTTAACTTTGACGAGACACAAACGAAGAGGAGCACCTTTGACAACTTCCCTCAGGCCTTGCTCACTGTGTTTCAGGTCTGTCCATGTTTATCTATGAAGACTTTAGGTTTGATTTTGATGGATATGTGGTTACTCATGTTAATGGTATGTTGTTTTCAGATTCTGACCGGTGAAGACTGGAATGCCGTCATGTACGATGGAATTATGGCGTACGGTGGCCCATCATCGTCAGGAATGATCGTGTGCATCTACTTCATTATTCTCTTCATATGTGGAAATTGTATCCTCTTACTGCTGCTGACTTCCTAATGAAGCCAAGTAGCAAACAGAAAACCAAAATAGGGAATTTTTATCATTTTAACCTAGTTGTGGATTAGTTGTTCACTATCTTGGTTGCAAGAATATTTTTTTTTCTTGAAATTAACTAACAAGTTGATCAAAAGTGACAAATCTTTTGCAACCTTATAAATGCCTTTACTCTTTCAAATGAATCCCGTTCTTTTTTAATTTATTTGTATTCATCCTGAAAAAAATATTCTGTTATCACTCTTTCCCTAAAAATAGTAAGTGGCTTTGCCATCACAGTAATAAATTGCTTTTAAAAATATATTCAAATAGAACTATTTTTTTATTTATAATAATATTTCACAAAAGTACTGTTTTACTGTATTTTTATCAAATAAATGCGTCCTGGGTGAGCATAAGAAACCTCTTTAAAAATATCTTCAACATGTATCCGCAAATGTGTAGACAATGTGCAATTTAAATGAATTTGGGAAATAGTTTTGATCATATAATCTGCACACCTACATGCAGTTATTTGCTCCACAGAAAACAAAAGGAGATTTTTTTAAAGCCATTTTCCCACAGTTATTTGTCAA